TGGGAATGCAGGACTCAGCCTGCTGCTGTTGTGGTACCACGAGGTCCGTAAACCAAGGACAGCAGTTTGGAATCTGCCTAAATGTCTTTCTCTGAGTAATACATCTGAGTCAATAAGTTTGCAAGATGAAATACATAATAGTCAAGAAACAGCCGCAATCTTTCAAGGAAGGCAACTTCAGATACTGGAGAAGTTAAACAAATTAATGACAAATATGGAAGAACTCAAGGAGGAAATCAGATTTCTTAAGCTATTCCAACGCTGGAGGAATATACACAAGGTGAACTTGGAGGAAAGATAGCTGTCCATAGGATAAGTCCTCAGCACAGAGCTAGAAAAAGAAGACCTACCACAGTTCAAAGTTCAGCAATGAGTAATAGTTCAGAGGAAGCAGAAAGTGAAGGAAGGTACATTACAGTAAATATTGACACAGAAGAGCAGAGTTTTCCAATCCCTAAGGCATTTAACACATATACAGAGGAATTAACTTTAGATGTTCTTCTGCAGAAGGCAGATTACTTATGTGTGAATGAGAATGGCAAAGTAGAGAGTTTTGAACTACTTTGTGACCACAGGAAAAGTTTAGAGATGAAATAGAGTTTATATGGCAGTTTACTCGTGCATATGGAGACATGTATGAGTTATCTATAAACACACAAGAAAGGAAACATTATGCAAATGTTGGAAAAACTTTAGGTGAGAGAGCTATTACTAGAGAACCTATGAATGGATATTGTCATCTGTGGTATGCAATTTTATGTGACTATGTATCTGAGTTTGAGGGCTTACAGAACAAAACCAACTATGGATATCGTTTCAAGGAGCATCTAGATATAGCAATCCAACTTTTACCTCAAGAACTTCTTTTACTGTATTACCTCAAGGGAAGATACAATTATACTGTCTCAAGACTAAGCTGGATTGAAAAAAAAAATAAAAATGGCTGCCACTGTCTTTGGTAAAATACCAACTTCAACTGTACAAGAAGCTTTGCATAATTTCCTTAAGGCTGAAGAACTACACCCTGGTTACTCTAAGCCCAATTACATTTGTCATTCATTTGTTTAACCTCTCCAGTATCTGAAGTTGCCTTCCTTGAAAGATTGCAGCTGTTTCTTGACTATTACGTATTTCATCTTGCAAACTTATGTCATTTATTGCGTATAGTATATAGTATATGCTTTTCATACACCTAACCTAATGAATATCATCGCCTAACCTACTTCAGCATGTTCAAAACACTTTTATTAACCTGTAGTTGGGCAAAACCATCCAACACAAAGCCTATTTTATAATAAAGTGTCAACCATCCTATGTCATTTATTGTGTATAGTATATAGTAGACCGTTGGTTGTCTGTCCTTGTGAGCATAGGGCTGACTGCACTCCCCAGCACCATGAAAGAGTACTAGCTTAGAGAAAGATCAGAAAGTGTTATAATGATCTTGGGGAAAATCAGAATGCTTTGAAGTTCTCTGATCTGGCATTAGTGCTTCCTGTCGTTACCAAAGAGGATAAAGAGGCACAGAAAGAAGTGAAAAAAATAATTACTTTCTTGAAGAGGTAAGTAAAAGAACTTACTCTCCAACAAATCAGATGTGGTCCACTAAAGTTTAAACTAATCAAGGTTGTGTTTTATTAAACTTTCTTCTTTTTTGATGTATGGGTAATATGCTCGGATTTGAAGGTAAAACCATGTATCTGCAGAACGCATTCCACTGGTGGCACTGCAAACAATCATGTTACTTGGAGACTTTACTATAATGTCAAAACATAATGATCAATAAACATGTATGCTTTATATTTTTCCTATTGATAAACCATAGCCTTCAAAGTATTTCTTTAAATAAAATATTTAAATCAACCTCCCCCCAAAAAAAGAAAAAAGAAAAGAAAAAATATATACATGCTTAGGATGAGTTCATCTCTTAAAATAATTGAGGTTTGGGGTATTTTGGTCTTGATTTTTTAGATTTTTGTCATAGGGTGTGTGTTTGTGAGAAAGAGAGAGAGAGAGAGGTAAAGTAAGAAATCACTCCCCAGGGGGGATGGTCACTCCACAATTCCTGCTCCTTCATTCTCCTCTTGGGATTTTGGGTGCACATCACATGCTCCTGGCATGATTTTCAGGCTGCCGAGTTCAGGACTAAAATGATGGACTCAGCCATCTGAGATCCAGCACTTTAACCATCATGCCACCTGCTGGCCTCAGCATTGGGGAGATTTTTTTTTTTTTTAAATGGAACAGAGACACCAGTATGCCTTTGAGAATCATGTGGTGAGAAGCTGATAACTTAGTATTTAGTATTTAAGTATGGAAAGACAGAGAACCTTGCCCTGCGGGAATGCCTGGCCCTACCAAACTGACTTCCAGGCAGATCTCCACCTACTGTGCTGACATAGAAGAATTTCTCAGCATCACCAATTCCTCTCCAGTAAAATCCAAGTAAATGCAGATTTATTTGGTATTCCTTTGCACATTTATGAGAAATTTAGATCCAATTTAATCTAAGTAGTGGTTTAGGGACTTGGAGAATTAACTCCTTTGACTTGACCTGTAATAGGATTGCAGTGGCCACTAGTTGGGTTATGTCCTCATAAGCCCATTGTAAGTTGAAAAAAATGTTTAAAATGCCTTTAATACACCTAACCTAATGAATATCATAGCCTAACCTACTTCAACATGTTCAAAACACTTTTATTAACCTGTAGTTGGGCAAAACCATCCAACACAAAGCCTATTTTATAATAAAGTGTCAACCATCCTATGTCATTTATTGTGTATAGTATATAGTAGACCGTTGGTTGTCTGTCCTTGTGAGCATATGGCTGACTGCACTCCCCAGCACCATGAGAGAGTACTGGGAAAGATCAAAACTCCAAGGACAGTGGGCCTTGTGATATGTGATGGTTAAGGGCACTGGACTCCCACATGGCTGACTGCAATTCGAGTCCTGAACCTGGCAGCTTGCTTCCTCACTTCTTCCCCGCCCTTTCTCTTTCTCACTCTGTTCCTCTCTGGCCAGACAAAAATAAATAAATAAATCTTTAACCAAACAAAGAAACAAACAAATTCAAAGGATGGTTTCTACTGAACGCATGTGGCTTTCACACCGTCATAAAGTCAAAAAATTGCTAAGTCAAGTCATTGTAAATAAGTCGAGGACCTTCTGTATGTACATCCTTTAAAATCACATTCTGCCTAAAATCAGTCCAAACATCTCTGTGGGGGAACAAGGTCTTACAGATGTTCTAGGGCTGTGGGTTAGTAAATGGAAATTAGGTTAGAGGATCCATTTACTAAAGCTAAGATGTACGAAGTAGCATTTGTGGACTCACCATTGTTTGCGATTCACTTCAAGCCTTAGTTACTGAACCTGTTTCTCTGCCATTCCCACAGACTTTTCCCAGACATGATCTTCAGCAGTGCAGAAGGAATTCTCTAAACCCACAAAGTGGATTTTGGTCTGGGAAAGCACCGGCGTCCCCATTTGTTTTGGCACAGCCCTGACAGGTGCTCCCAGGAATGACTCGTTCATTCTCTCCACCATTTCCGCAGCCTCCTGCAGGGAAGGGTCACCGTGCTTAGTTGATTAAGAAAGCAAGAACCTGATTTGGTTTTTGCCAACTGTGCTTCTCCAGAACTTATAGCAGACCTATGTGCACGGACTGCATTTCTCTTGATTTTTTTTTTTTCCTGAGTCTATATTGTCTTTGTACCAGGAACGAAGTTAGTGTCTTTGATTTACCTTTGAGAATAATTAAGTTGTTCATTTGGCAAATACCTGAGCACCTACTATTTGCCTGGCCCTGACCTTGAGAACAGAGCAGCGAACAGAATAGCAAAAATCTTGGCCACGGAGAGCTCACACACAGTGGGGCCAACAAGAATTGCAATGAGCTGTGAATTACACAGCTCATAGAACCCCAAAAGAGGTTGGGGTGGTTAAGAGAATGCATTTGGATCAGACTCCCTGGGTTTGACTGTTACTTACCCTCATATAACCAGGTAGATCATCCTTTATGTACCTCAGTTTCCCGCACTGTGAAATAGAGGTGATGATAACACACCTGTGGACAGCTGTTAAGAGGTTTAAACAACTTAATGTTTTCATGAAGTACTTATAAGAATGTGTGGGCCGCAGTGTGTGCAGTCAGATGCTGGGTTTTGCCGTTGGGATGTAGAGGTGATGTGTCTAGTGGGAGCTAGAAAAAAGAGAGACAGGGTCAGGGCATTCCTAAACTGGTCAGGTTTAAGATCTTGCATAAAACCAGATCTCATCAATAAAACCAGACAGGGTACTTGTGGCAAGAGAACCCCCGTACTTTGCAGGGAATCGAGGGGATACAAGCGTTCAGGAGGAGGCTGGGGGTCCTGGGAGGGGACATCATGGTGGATGGGGTTTTCCAGCGGAAACTTGGGTAGGCAGGAAGAAGGTCATCCCAGCCAGGGCACGAACCTGGCCTGAAGCCCAGAATTAAGGCAGGCTCAGGCTTTAAGTTCCAGTGACTTAGAAAGGAACACTCAGTTACTTAATGTAACTTATTTTCATTCAAGGCTTGGTGTGTATTTGAGGAAGAACTGTCTCATCCATCCTGTTATGGCATTAGATTTTGGTTGTATAACAGCTTATTCCCCTGAATCAGTCTGTTTTTCCAGCTGATAAATTGTTCTTAGTACTTAGTTGTTTAAACAATTTGTTTGGCAGTATGGGCCAGCAGGTCGCATAGTGGTTTTAGCATGCTGGACTTTCACATGGCCTATAGTGGTCCCAGCCCTGGGACCTGGCAGCTTGAAAATTATGATGGGTGGTATGCATGCATGCCCAAAATCCTGAGAGGAGAATTGAGGAGAAGGGATTGCAGTGAGGCCATCCCCCTGCGGGGAGTGATTTCTCACTATCTCTCTCTCCAGCGATCCCACACACCCTATAGTAAAAAAAGAGTATTACAGTATTCAAATAACCTGTGGCTTTTTTCTTTTTTTTTCTCTCATAAAAGCTACAGATTCTCGTGGACACTGGAAGCAGTAACTTTGCTGTGGCGGGTGCACCTCATCCCTACCTAGAGTCATACTTTGACACAGAGAGGTGAGTATGGAGCCAGAGCTGAGGTAACTGGGTCTGGAGACAGCACGTAGATCAGCATACTTCAACTCCTCCAGGACAAAATAGCCAGAAGGCCATTTCATTCTAAGGGGTGTGTGTGTGTGTGTGTGTGTGTGTGTGTGTGTGTGTGTGCATTTGCATGTGTATGCACACACATGTGCATATGTATGTGAGGGGACTTCAAAAAGTTCTTGTAGAAGTGGAATTGAAGTACACATTTATTTTTGTACAAAAATTTTGAAATTCATGCATAGTTTTTCATAGCGCACCCTTTCTGTGAACTTTCTGAAGATCCCAGGTATGCTCATTCCAAGGGAATCCACAGCAGGTCTCTCCCAGTAGCTTTGGCTCATACAAAGACTTGCTTTGTAAAAATTCAAGTGAGGAGGTCGACAGTGGTGCAGTGGCCAAACACAATGCTTCCCGGGGCTGACTCACACAAGAATGTTCCCATTTCCAGTCTAGAGGCCGCCCTGCATATGCTGGTCATGTGGGTGCTCATGACCTGGGGCTGGCTGAGACTGGAGATGGCTCACATTGTCAGGGCCTTGTTGAGGGGTGCTGTCCGTCTGTCTGTCTCTTTCTCTCTCACTTCTGTGATAAATGAATGAATGAATGAATGATTCTGTTGAAATATGACTCTATGGTTTGGCCTGAGTTGCAGGGAGCACATGGTCCCTTGTTGATGGTTGCAGCCCCCTAGCTCTTAGGAGGGGGTGGGCATCACACGAGTGGGTGGCTGCTCTGGACAGGGGTGTAGCATTGCTGCTTGAAGAAATGCAGGGCAACCCACCTTTGTGTAGCCCACTCCCTCACTTGAAGTTGTAGGGTTGATGGTGTGGAAAGCCATGTCTGTGTGTCTGTCAGGGGGTGCTCTGAGAGAGACCCACAACTCCTTTGGACAAGAGTAAATGTTCTGAACACAAAGAATGAAGCCCCAAGCTGGGGCTCCACACCATCAGTCACGGGGTGCAATGGGGAGGAAAGACAGAGGTCTCTGGATTGAAGCAGGCTATGCTCACACTGGCCCTGGGACTTGTGGCTTTGGAGGAGCCTGAGGTGGGCTGTTGAGAGGCTCCCAGTGGCCTTGTCAGTGATCAGTTCTGGAGGAGCCCCTGGGGCCTGGGGTCACTAGGCCTTCTGGGAACTTCGAGCTGCTCTAATTCTGTTCAGTTTGATTTCATGTCTATTTTTGTGACCCTAAAAATGTAAACAGACAAAATGAGTGAGCAGAAATGCAGCAGTTTGCTTTTTTAGGGTCATGAACTGTCTAAGGACTCAGAACCACCTTTTTTCTACTGTAAATCCTTTTCATGTCTTCCCTTGTTCACTTCCCTTATCCACAGTGTTTCATGCCAGAGAATGCAGGCCAGCTTTAGCTAAATGAAAAAAAGGAGGGGAAATAACAGCAGGAGGCTTCTGCAAATGCTGGCAATTGAATACAGCAATGTGATTTGCTGTGAGTGAGGGTGGTGGTAGAAGACACCGCCCATATCCACCCTCCTGCACTGCATCTTGGATCTCACGTTGGTGGCCTAAATGATGTGGTCTCCTCTGTACAACTATAGTGACTTTCTGAGCTGGGTAGTGGGGCCTTATGGGGCTATAGAGAAACATGGCTGACCCCAGTGTCCAAGAACCTATAGCTTACTTTATGATTCTGTGTATTGATAAGCCGTCATTATCATAAGCTGATATCCCAGGAGACAGCACCTGGCTAGGGATTACCTTGTGACTGAAAAGATTAAAAGTACCTGAAAGTTGTTGCTGAAATCATAAATATGTATACAAAACTGAAGAGGGAACCAGCCCTGTAGCCTGTAGTTCAGGGTGTTGAATCCCACATGACTGACTGCAGTTCACATCCCAGCCTGGTAACTTAAAAAATATACTGGGGTGTACATCCCCCAGAGCTCCAACAGAATGGAGAAATGAAGGAGTGGGGATCGCAATGTAACCATGCTTCTTTGGTGGGTATATTTTCTATCTTTCTGTTTCTCTCTTTGTCAAGAGAGTGTATATGTTCTCTGGCAACTAAAAATAAATAAATAAAATAAGTTCAAGGGGGCAGTGTTTCTCTGTGTATGTGCAAGAGAGGGCTGGTTCACGGTGGTTTCTGCTGCCTTTTCCCATGCAGACTGGTAGTTCCTACTCTGCCCCCATCAGCTCCATGCCCCCTCCTCCAATCACACTCCAGGTTACTTTATCATGGAGCAGGACTTCAAGTTGGTCCAACCCTCAGTTTTATTCATGTAACAGAAGGGGAATCAAGGCAATAAGGGGCTTGCTGACTGATCAGGCACTTGAGGTAGACAGACACCCAGAGCAGCTTGGGTTTTTTTGGTTTTTTTTTTTGCTTTGCTTTTGGAGAGGTTTTTGCTATAGGGCGTGTGCGCTTGCCAGAAAGACAGAGAGACAGAAAGCGAGAAATCACCTCCCAGGGGGGATGGCCATGCCGCAATCCCTTCTCCTCCATTCTCCTCTTGGGATCTTGGGCATGCACGCACACACACCCGGCGTGAGTTTAAGCAACCAGGTCCGGGACTTGAACCACGGTCAACTACATGGGAGTCCAGCGACATAGCCATTATGCTAACTGCTGGTCCCCAGCTTGGGTTATTAATGTGCTTTTCCAAAATGGTGAGGATTCTTGATGATGTCCCCCTCCCACCTCCCCACCCTGATGCCACCAAAAAAATGTGGTAATATCTAACACCTATTTAACTATGTACAAAATACATTGTGCATTTATCAGAGGGAAGCACATTCTGTACTCAGGTGATTAGCTGTAGGTTTTTACTTATGTAGATGTCCAAGGAGGCTTTGAAAAGTAGCACAGGGGACAGTTCTTCATTTTATGTGACTGCCCTGCACACTCTAGGTAGCCACCAGCAACCAAAAATACCCTGAAGTTTCCAAAGACCCCCTCAGAGACAGTGCCCTCCATTGGGAACCACTCATCTTGAGGACACAGCAATCCTGGCCCTGCCCTGTTCCCACTCCAGGGCTCTGCTTGGTCCCACACGGTCACTCAGCCTTCCCACGCCTGCAGGGGCCTCCACATGCACAGGCAGAAGGAATATGTGAGCTCTAGTCTGTAGTTCAGGGCCCACCCCTTTACCCTAGGAGTGATAGTGCTTCTTATCACACATCTATAGACACAAAATGTGGTAGAAACAGTAAATCACAGTGAGGCAAAGTAGGGTGAGAGGATAGTTACTGCACAGATTTACATATGCGTATTGGATACAGTGGACAGTGACTTTCTTCCTGGTAGGCAAGTGGCAGTTCTTAGGCAGCTGCCATAGCCAGAGCTCTGAAAGGTCAGTTTGCTTCTCAACCTGGACTTCCTATTGCCATGCAGAGGCAACTGTTGAAACAGGCAAAGGTACATAATAGTAACCCCTACCTACACTGAATCCAAGGTCATTTAATATGTACGGAATTAAATAGCTAGAGACACCTCAGGATCTTTCTGAGTTACCTCTGACCATGTTCAGTGGTTGAGCCGTTCTCATTCTGCCCCGATAGGACATGTTTTTCTAACTGATCTGCTGACCTTGCTTGACTTATTCAAATGAATTTTTACATCCATACAGGCTTGTTTTTGGGTGGCATGTGGTTCCTGTGTTCTATAGTCAAAGACTGGTCCTCTGGCCCCCATCCATCTGATTTCACATGAAAACTCCCGGAAAAAAAAAAAAAAAAAAAAAAAACC